CTTGATAGTCTCCTATGCAACAGAGCTCCTCACTTCATTTAAATGGAAATGTGCATTTTCATGGAAATTCAGGCCTGTATTGATGAACAAAGATAAGCTGCCACTATTAAATATAATAGTGATATAAAAAAGTGTTCTAGAAAACATATTTTTAAAAATAGTAAAATTTACACTGACAGGAAAAACATTTTTTTAAGAACATATGCATACAGCAATATGTACAGCCTAGAAATAGGATAAATTAAATTTTCTAAAATTTGTCCCATAGTATTTGAATGGTTATAAAGCTGAAAACCCAGGACAAAGGTTGTGAACGGCAGGGTGAATATGTATGTTTTTGATAAGCATAGTGACTTAATATGAATAAACTAATTAGCATAGTGCCTTTTTATAAGTAGATATTAGTCATGTAATAAACATTTTTCAGTAGACTTGTTAAGAAATGTCATGGGTTAGGTGTGGTATTATTTTCCATGCTCTTTTCTTTCTTAAAATTTTAATGTGACTATTTTGGAGTTCACTTTTTAATAACACATTTAAAAAATACTTAATGATTATACATGCGCTTCCCTGATGGTTCAGACAGTAAAAAGTCTGCCTTCAATGCGGGAGACCCGGGTTTGATCCCTGGGTCAGGAAGATCCGCTGGAGAAGGAAATCGCAATCCACTCCAGTATTCTTGCCTGGGAAATCCCATGGATGGAGGAGCCTAGCAGACTACAGTCCATGGGGTCGCGAAGAGTAGAACAGGACTGAGCAACTTCACTTTTGCTTTTAATGACAGTACATAGTTTCTCCCAACTAGAAACCGGCAAAGCATTCCTAACTATTTCTTTGCCAAAAAACATGCAGGCCATGCAGATTTTTCCTCAGCAATGATCTGTGAGTCTAGGTGTCCTTCTCACTGCTACTCTCAGTGGCTTTATGGGACCTGATATTAATATCTTTCACCTGACAATTGCCAAGATCTGCTATCTCACCTCTCCCATCCTCCCCACAACACTCCCCTCTCTACAGAGTCTACATTTCCCGTTCAGCCACTTAATTTACTCTTCCAAGTGGAATAGGGATGCCTAAGGCACACAGATGAGGAGGAAATGGAATCTGAGAAGAAACAAATCGGTGGGGAAAGAACAAACAATATGAAACAACCAGAGGAAAGTATTTACAGTAAAACATTGGGCAAGTAACAAGATGTGCAATTATATTCCTGAGGCTCAGGGCAAGTCATGCCAGAATGCCACTCTGGCAATATGGAGTATTTTGAACTGAAGATAATCAAGGCCCAACAGACTGAAGAAGATCTTTATACCATTCCCTTAACTGTCTCAGACCACTTAGATGGAGGGCCTGGTCCAGGAGAGAGCTAACACAAAGATAACTACAAAGACTAAGGGTTAGTTGCCTAACCTTGCAGCGGGGTGGGGGCAGGGCCTAGCGATCAAATTCCTCTGTACCCATCATCTCTGTGAGGCTTGGCACATGTTTGCTTCTGAACGCCTGCTCTTCCTAACCTCTATGAATAGTCTTCCTTCCTGGGAAACCCCAAATCCCACCCTCTTCTTCTCTCAAAATGGCATGAAAGCTTCAGTTGCCTGCCTGTCAGGGGGAGCCTCTCATTATTCTCTGTGGGGTTTTTGTAGTACACAGTTAGATTTGTTTTCTCCCATTAACCCATCTTATACCAATTTAATTAACAGACCAGCCGAAGACCCTAGAAGGATAGAGGAAAACTTTTCCTCTCTTACAATGTCATGAATGTTAGAAAATTATTAATCCCTTAGATTGATGATGATGATGAAAGTCACTCAGTTGTGTCCAACTCTTTGCAACCCCATGTTCTATACAGTCCATGGAATTCTCCAGGCCAGAATACTGGAGTGGGTAGCCTTTCCCTTCTCCAAGGGATCTTCCCAAATCAGGGATCGAACCCAGGTCTCCCACATTGCAGGCAGATTCTTTACCAGCTGATCCACAAGGGAAGCCCAAGAATACTGGAGTGGGAAGCCTATCCCTTCGCCAGCGGATCTTCCTAACCCAGGAATCGAACCAGGGTCCCCTGCATTGCAGGCTTTTTCCATACCGCTGCTGTGGGAAGTACCCACATATTCATTAGACTTTCCCAAGTAAATAGAGTTTTAGCAATGTGACTTAATGAGCTTAACTAACAGCAGACTAGTACAGGCCAGGGGCACAAAGAGGGAAGTCATAATACAACAGCTTTTTCTCATGCAGCATTTTTATTTTTATGATTCTTCTGAAGATAGACAGTAAAAGATCACTTAGCATATTGTTTGAAAGTCGAAATAGTTGAAGATGAATAAATATAAGAGACACTGATGTTAACTCTATATATCTATACTTCTTTCTTTGCCAAATGGAAAGAATCCCATTGGGACTTGTAGAGTTCAGACAGCTTAGGGAGATCATGACATTAAAATAGTCTCTTTAATAGTTATTGCTTGCTTTGGCAGTATCTGTCATATTTTTATAGGATAAAATCATATTTTGGTTAAAATCCAAACAATAAAGGAAAACTGAATGTATCTGTTTTGCAAACTAAAGAATGTCACCAGCACTATAGCCAGCTGGCTCTTCAAGGATTGAGTCATAAGCCACGGCAGCCACTGACCTTTAATACATCCTAAAAGGATTTCAGGGTAGAGATCAGGAATGAGGCACTCTGTGCTCTGGGAAAGCTGGCAGAACAAGACTTCAGATAGTTCATTTTTTGGAGAAATTTTTTATGAACCTGGATTCTTATAGCTTACCAAACTTAGAAAAGCACTAAAACTATTAACTAAGATAATTGTGCCTTATGATGGGCAGCTACCTTCTAGGGAGATAGGACATGTGTGCCTGGGTGCAGGTACCCCATTTGTCAAGTCCCCCTTTACCTTTTCCTAACAGTTTCTCAGAGCTATTGAGAGGCTGTCTTCCAGGCTTCAGTTCATAATAAGACAATGAATGAACTCAATTCACAGTTTCTAAATTGTGCATTTTTTTTTTTCAGTTGACAGTTTACACCTCAGATACTTGATGCTTGTCTCTCAACATTATGATTTCAGACATTGGTGCTTAATCTATGCACAAAACTTATAAGAAATAATTCTCCTGACTCTACATGAGTATGGAATAATACCGAATAAAAAGTCCTACGACTTTTTCTCAGGGGCCAGAGGAAGAAAGCCAAATACAGGGTTTAATGGAATCACTCAACCTCCTTTTTTTCTATTTCTCTGCTGTCTTAAGGAAACGAACTCCCAAACTAAATGGGTATAATCAGTCACTCTTTTCAATTATGCCTTTAATGCCTATTGATACACTTTATGTTGGGCAGAAGAGAATAGAGAATCTGGTTCCATTCCAGGTTCTTAATCTTTCTGATAAGACAGCCTCTATGGCTATAAAGCATCAAGATTTAAGTGTATAGGACCCTTGTGTCAGCTTTCAGAGTGAGAACAGGCCTTGGAGGAGATATGGCCCATGAGGCAATGGGAGTGAAATGACAGAAGAAAGAGCTCTCTTCAAATATTCCTGGAGTTCTCAATACAGTCCTAGCTCTGTGTGTACCTGGGTAACAGTCAGCTTCTTGGATGTAGTCAGACAGAACTTTGAGTTTAGAAGGCTCCTGCTGTTTGCTGAAGGCTCTGTTGTCACTGTCTTGAAATTCTTAACAGTCTTTCTAACAAAAAACTCTACATTTGTTAGAGCAGGGAAGCCTGGAGGGCTGCAGTCACAGCTGAGGAACTGAACATCAATAACTACATTTGTTGTTTGCACTGGTCCCTGCGAATTATGTAGCCAGTCCATCTGGTGAAGAAGAGTTTTGAAATAAAGAAAGCCTTTTGCTCGTTGCAAAGACACAATAGCCAGCTGGATGGGATGCTCTGCTCTCTCTAAAGGGTTGCACAGATACGTAGCACCTAGAGGAGACTGACATCCTCCTTCAGGATCCAGTCTTTCTTCTCTATTTAGCAGCACATTCCGCTCCCCCTTTTAGCTGCATGCACGGCTGCCCAGTCAGAGATTATATTTCCAAACTCTCTTGCTTTTAGGTGTATCCACGTGATTGCATTTGGACTATTGATTCCTGTTTGCTATTTCCAGGTTATTACCTTAAAGACAAAGCTAATTTTCCTAAAGGCAAAGCCAAAGAGCCTAAACCCCTTCCTTTTCCTTCTCAGAGACCAGAAGGGAGCTGTGCTGGTGATGAGCCTTTACCATTGAGAGGAGGAGAACATGCTGGGGGGGAGGGGGGAGGCAGAGCAAAAAGTAGGAGGAACCCTGGTCCTTTCAAGACCTCCTGAATGTCAGCTTCCCTGACAGCACGGGCTACTCATCTTGTCCCTTGGACAAGGACTTGAGAGAGGAACACATTTTCATTCTGAGGTCTCTTTGTTATATTGACTTGGCCTCTATGCTAAACGTACAGAAGAAATTCTTGGGGGCTGATTCATAGTGAATTTGTATTTATCTAGAATAACTGAATAATATAGTGTTCTGAGCACTTGAATATTCTACATAGGGACAATCATTAGTTTGCATTAAAGGGATATACAACTATATTGAACCAAACTTTATACTCAGTGAGTCTCAGAACACTTGCAGAACCTCAAGGTCATCACTGTGAATACTAATTATAGTATATGTCTGTAGATGCTGGGGAGTAAGTACAGTAACCTATGAAAAAACTCCTGAAGTGGCATTTACAAAATAAATTCCTGAATCACTCTAGTTTCATTGCAATTTATCTCGATACTGAAATGATGACTACAGGATGTTAACAATGTTCGTGAATTTTCTCATTGTTTGGAAACTGAATTTGGGAACTTGCAGTACTTTTTAAAACAGTGACATCATATATACAAGATAACTTTACTTTGCATTAAATTTTTTTTCACTGACTAAAACTGCTAAGATTTAAAATATTATGTTGATAAACCAGTTACAAAACCATCAAGGAATCGTAATTTCAAAAATATAGACTTGAAAGTTACCTGCCCCAATGACTCTCTCAATGCGTATTCTTGACGGATCAATCTCCTTTGCAAATTCATGGATTGCTAGGGATGGGTCTTCATATGTATCTGGATCTATATAAGTTTTAATTCCTGGAAAGCGTACTGCAACAGAATAAAAGGTTGAATTAGTTTAAGAGTGTTCTAGCAAATCACACATCCTGTGAATAGTTAAAATGAGGAGTGACATATTAAATAGTTCTTATTTTTAAACTGAAGTATAAATGACTCACAATATTATGTTAGTTTCAGGTGTACAATATAGTGGTACAATATTTTTATACATTATAAAATGATCACAACAATAAGTCGAATTACCATCTGCCACCATACAAAGCTATTAAAATTGCATGGACTACTTTTCCTGTACTGTATATGACGTACCCGTGATTTATTTAATAAGGAAGTTTGTATCTCTTAATCTCCCTCACTTATTTCACTCATCCCCTCATTCTCCTCTTCTCTGGCAATCACCCGTTTGTTTTCTGTATTTATGAGCTTGTTTCTGTTTTCTTATGCCAGTCCATTTGTTTTGTTTTTTAGATTTCACATATAAATGAAATCATATGGTCTTTCTGTCTGCCCTATTTTACTTCATATAATATGTTCTACATCCATTCATGTTGTCACAAGAGGCAAGATTTTATTCTTCTTTATAGCCAAGTAGTATTACATTATACATATATATCACATCTTCCTTATTCACTCACCTATGGATGGATGAATAAGGATGACACTTAGGCTGCTTCCAAATGATAGTTATTGTAAACAATACTGTTTTGAGCCCAAGAGTGCACACATTTTTCAATTTAGTGTTTTTGTATTCTTCAGAAAAATATCCAGAATTGGAACTGTTGGATTGTATGATATTTCTATTTTTAATTTTTTGAGGCACCTCCATACTGTTTTCCATAGGGTCAGCACCAGTTTACCCTGCTGCCCATCATACATGAGAGTTTCCTCTTCTCTATATCCTTTCCCAAAGCTATTCCTTGTTGTCTTTTTGATAATAAACATTCTGACATGTATGAGGTGATATCTCATTGTGGGTTTGATTTTTATTTCCTTATGATTAGTGATGTTGAACATCTCTCCATGTGTCAAATACTCATCTGTATGCCTTCTTTATAAAAGTGTATATTCAGCTCCTCTGCCCATTTTTCAATCGAGTCATTAGGCATTATTATTAACTTAAACTCAATTATCTTTTATAATTATTATCTTTTATAATTTTCTACCCCTCCATACCACCCCATTAGCTACTTGGAAACAAAATTTTATTTGTATAACTGTTGATATAAAATGACCTGGTGCTTTCAGAGAGTGAGCTGACAAATTGCATAAGACACATTTTTATTATATTTCTGTAAAAAGTTTGATCCGCTCACTTAGCCACTCAGTTCACTTCAGTTGCTCAGTCATGTCCGACTCTTCACGACCCCATGGACTGCAGCATGCCAGGCCTCCCTTCCATCATCAACTCCCGGAGTTTACCCAAACTCATGTCCATTGAGTTGGTGATGCCATCCAACCATCTCATCCTCTGTCATCCCCTTCTCCTCCCACCTTCAATCTTTCCCAGTATCAGGGTTTTTCAAATGAGTCAGCTCTTTGCATCTAGTGACCAAAGTATTGGAGTTTCAGCTTCAACATCAGTCCTTCCAATGAACACCCAGGACTGATCTCCTTTAGGATGGACTGGTTGGATCTCCTTGCAGTCCAAGGGACTCTCAAGAGTCTTCTCCAACACCACAGTTCAAAAG